GGGCTCTCCGCGCCGCTGTGGAGGGCGCCCTGGCCCTTGCCGAGCCGCAACAATAGTGGGAGCGGGCCGCCGGACGCGATCGGCCGGCGAGGGGAGACGGGAACGACGGTCCCGGGCGCTGCGGCGTGAGAGACTTTGGGAGCCTGGACGTGCAGGAGCACACAAGCGCTGCCTGAGGAAATTGTCTCAGAAAAAGGCCGATCTGAGGCTGGGGCTGAGCACGGGACTGGGCTAGGTGGAGGAACCTGCAGGTCGAAAGGGAAAAGGGCATTTAAGATATCCTGGGGTTTTGGCCAATGCTACCATTTTGAAGGTAAAAAGCATTGCGCTTCAGGTGTTTTGTGATTTTTTTTTTTGTGTGTGTGTGTGTGTGTCTGCACAATTGGCTCATTTCAGAATTCAAAACCTTTAATGTAAAAGATCGGTGTCTTGTTTTGATTTTTAAAAAATCCACAAATTTTGCTTCCCAGAGCTCCACTGGACTTCGTGTTGTGTACATACTGCTGTATGGTTTTATTTATTTTAACTGTGCAAATCATCTGGAAGATTTTTTTTTTTTCTTTCCCCGAGTGCCATTTCGGATTTGTTCAGCCCTTTTTTGTTTTGTTTTGTTTTCCTTCCCTGGCATTTTAAGCATTTGGGAACGAGAGGTTTTTCAACCTTTGGAGCTTCAGGGTTCCCTTGTCAACAGAAGGACAGCTGGGAAAACTGGATTGAAAGGATGGTTTTTATCTGGCTACAGTTAAGACTGATATTTTGAAGTCACATTCTTTCTGTGGTTCGTTTTTTTAGCCCAGAGTGCTACCCTTAAAGAGATTTGTGGTTGACGTTTTGGTTTCTAAGAAGGTCATAGTTTTTCCTCTTTCGTTTCTTTATTTTTTATTTTTATTTTTCCATTTTCTTCTTTATTTTCTAAGACAAGGGAAGGGGAGGGTAAGGGTCCAGAAAGGAGGAGACCATGTTAAGTGGTCGAAGTAGAACCGGTCTGCAGTTACCAGGCTCCTGACAGCTGGAGGAAAAAGGATTCAGTCTTCAACTTGGGAGGCCTTCCTCCCACCTTCCTTAAAAATTGCAAGGGATTCAGGCCTGATCAAGACGCCCAAAAGAAGCTACAGGATTCCGGAACTGTGGAGACACCAAGAAACCATGAGCATAAGATTACCCCATAGTATAGACAGGTAAGTTTGCAGATAATTTGGGGTTTTTCCAACACTTAACTAAAAGGACTGGGAGGAGGTGTTGTGGTTTGACTGACTGAGCTGTGGGATACGTAAGGTAGGGACCGTGGTCTATGGGTATGTCAGTATCCGTGTTTATAGTCTCTCTGGGTGTCCATGTCCAAAACCTACCTCCTAATTCTGAGTCATTTATAACCAGTAAGCAGTGCAGTGGAGAGCAGGGGAAGTGCCCTCAGTAGCCTTTGCCTTAGACCAGGTGTAAGGCTGGCTACACCTGAGTCCCCCACTGGCCAGCCTAGGGATTCCAAGCTTGGACCCAGCCTGGTCATGGGATGACCACGGGGTGAATGGGGGCTAGCTTTAGATATTTGAGGAGGGTAGGGGTGACTGGCGGGGTTGTGGGCCTCCATCCGGCTGACTGTTGTGGATGGTGGGACACAGTGGTAGGGGTGGTTCCCATTTCAAATGAGGAAGATGCTGCTCTTGGCCTGAAATGCTGGGACAGAAATATATCCCGTATCCATATAATCAGAATTTTCACCCGTGGTTGAAAGAGCTCCAAAATGTTTAGGCCACATTAGAATTTCTTCCTCCTCAAGTTTAGAGTTTACATTGAGACCCTACCCACAGTCTGGTGCTTGAGGTTTAATTTTCCAAGCTGTTCTTAATAAGCTTGACTCTGCAAAACAGGCCTTCCCCCTGCTTGAAGCCGGAAGGAGTTGTTTTGGCTCTTGGGCCCTTGAAATCAGCTGGAGGCACATGATGCCCCTTCCCCCATGAGCCCGATCTGCTTTCCCCGTTTGCTGGTAACATTGCAGCTCGATCAGTCTGCCCTCCACAGGGCTGGTACGACTTCGGCAGGTGTCTGCCTTGTCAGTTCTTCCTTCTGCCCTTCAGCTCTTCACAATCCTCCGAGGGGGTGTGTTTGGTGGACATTCCACACACCCTGCCTGAACAGAGAGGGAGGTGGCTGGAAGAGAACAGTCAAATGAAAACATAGTTTTAGGAGGTAGGGAAGAAAACCTGTAAGTCAGCAGCTGCCCTCTCTGTCCGTTAACCTTTGGTTATACATGCTAATAGTAATTTCCTTTGGACTGCGGAACGCGGCCTAAAATGCATAATGATCTCCCCAACACTGCTGCTGTGTTTCCTCAGGGTCCCAGTCAGATCCGTTTAGTCGGTTTCGGGGAGGGAAACTGCCTTGCAGTAGGGAAAAGGAGGCAACCACGAAGGCAGTGTGGCCAGTTGGCATCTCCCTTCCCCTTCCCGTTGTGGTCTTCTGTAATTTGCCCCTGGGAAAGAATAACTGAAACTGTCAGAGCAAGGAGGTGAAGGTGATTGCATGTCTGCCCTTTTCGTCCTTTTGAAGTTGGGGGATTAGTACACCCAAATTAAGATTTGGGTGTCGAACAGTTTCTATTAATTCAGGGGTGTGAGCAGATGGCAGCCAGGTATGAAGTGGTGAGGAGGCAGTGGGGGCTTTTGGGTTAGTGTGAGATGCTCCTCTAGGAGCTTGCGTAACTTCACAGATCCAGATCCCAGGGTCCCAAGCGCTTTCATTGGAACACTTCTGTGAGGCAGGCAAGCCAGATACTATTCACGTTTTGCAGATGAGACCGAGTGGACTTGTGGTTGGTCCGGTGCCATTTAGCATTGTCTGAGGAGTGTCAGGATCTAGTCTCAAACCTCAGTCTTCTGATTCTGGATCCCTGGGCCTTTTTGTTGCCCCCCTGTCTACAGGGGTCTAGAGACTCACCATCTAAATGAGTCAGACTCCATTTTGCTCTCTCTCTTAGGCAGTTGGGTTAGGTGCTTGTCAAGTGTTCCCCTGTACTTTGGACCTATAATCTCTGGAGTTAAACACCATGTTCTTCCATGGGATAGTGCAGTTTGTAGGTGAGACTTCTTGCCTTTATCTTGCCTGATTCTCTGCCTCAGTCACAGGGTCAGTCCTGGAACTGAGATCCCCTTCTGGCTTCCTCTAGCTGACTTCTCTGATCTTGCCGCCGTACCTATGGGGTTACAGTGTTGAACTTGTTGATGTCCTAGGCGCTGTACCTTACAAATGTAAATAAGTCACAATCTTTTCTTTTTGTCACTAAAGCTGGCTTCTCAACTTGCTATGTATCTGGGATTCACAATCCTCCTGCTTCCACCTCCTACGGGAAAATTTAGTCTTCTGCTGTGCTTGTAGGGATGGATTAGATGGAAACATTCATTGCAAATTATCACGTCAGGGCTTCTGTTCTCGTCTACTTTATCAATTTATTGTGTAAGGTTACGGTATGAGTGTTTTAGAAAAGTATTATTTCTTATTGAAAACAGTCAACCTAATTGGGAAGTCGGCGTGGTGGCACATGCTTATAACCACAACCCCAGTACTCGGGAAGCTGAAGCAGGAGGAGTTACAGGATTGAAGTCATGGGCCACGGTGGATTTAAGGCCAGCCTGAGTTACACACCGAGACCCTGTCTCAAAAACACAACTCTCCCAAAGGCCACGTGGAGGTGCCACTGGTCCGAGCTCTGGAAGCAGGGGCTGTGTTGGTTTACTTGGTTTTGACCTGTCTGCTCAGGTTAGCGCCTGGCATGTAGTCAGTGCTCCATAAATACTCAACAAATGCATGTTCCGAGACGTGAACATACCAACAAGTCATGTCAGTGACTTCATCACGTAGTTAACCTAGGGTACATTAGAGAACATTTCCTTGGCGATATGTATTCTCTAGAAGATAAAGGGACAGGATGGAGGCCCTTATATTTAGAGACAATGTGGCTTCAGTAAAGAAGACTGGGCTACCTACTTGGCAGTCTTTACATCAGTTTTCTCCTAGGGCCATAGAAGGCATCAAGTGTCTTTAGATAACTTTTCTCTTCATGATCTCCAGTTGTTAATGAAGGGTGAGAAAAATTGTGGCTGCCCTGTTCTTTGCAGTTTTTGTTCATAACATCTTTTTGGCCCTTCATCTGAATTGCGTTTGTATTGCAGATAGAGAGTATGTCTGATTCCTCGGGGTAAATGGTTTCGGGGGCTGGGTAGGTTAGGAGTTTGCATCCACAGAACAGCTTTTCTCTGCACAATGGTAGCTCATTTGAAGACCAAACCAGGAAAGTATCGTTATGCCAAGAATTCTTGCTCTTCTCCATTTCCTCTTGTATAAAGCAGAAGTGCCACACTAACGTCATCTCTAGTTTACACGTTTACGATTGTGCCATTTGAAAATTGCTTATTATATCTCCCTTACAGGGCTGTTGAAAGACACAAATCAAATGAGATAAGATATTCCAAATTGCTTTTATAAATTGTGAAACATATAAATTCATGGATTTGATTTAACTTTATGTACTACTTTATGAATTAAATAACCCCAAACAAATGAAAACTGGTGTGGTGGCACACCTTTAATCCTAGCACTTGGGGGAGAGAGGCAAGTGGATCTCTGATTTCAAAGCCAACAAGGTCTACAAATCAAGCCCGAGGCCAGCCAGGGCTACATATTGAGACCCCTGTCTCAAGACAATAATAACAGTAATTTTTACAACTTAAGGAGTATCAGAAAGTTTTACTATTTTGAGAAATTTAAGAATGAATACATTTTTTGTTGCAGAAATGTACAAGGTACATGAAGTGTACAAATAATACTGATTAGGGAGTATAGCTTAGTTGGTAGCATGCTTGCTAGAATGCAGGAAGATCTGGGTTTAATCACCACTAATGCATGCCTATAATCTCAGCACTCTTGAAGTGGAGGTAGGAGGATCAAAAATCCAAGGTCATTCTTGGCTTCATAGGGAATTTGAGGCCATCCTGAGCTACAGACCCTGTCTCAAAAAGAAAAAAAGCAATACGGATAGGTGTGGTGGCCCACCCTATAATCCCAGCAGTTGGGAAATTGAGACAGGAAGATTATGAGTTCAAGGTCAGCCTGAACTACATAAAAGGTTAAGGTCAGTCCACTGAAGCCTTCTCTCAAAAGACCAAAAAGGAAGTTTTCCAGTGGATACGAGAGTATATTTGTGCTCGTGTGTGTGTGTGTGTGTGTGTGTGTGTGTGTGTGTGTGTGTGTGTACATGGTTGTGTGCACACATGTATGTGGAGTTCAGAGGTTGACATTAAGTATCTTCCTCACTCACATTCCATCTTACTTTTTAAGACAAGGTCCTCACTGAACCTGGAGCTTGCTGATTTAATGAGGTGAGGCTGGCCGGCCAGGGAGCTCCAGGAATCCAAACTCAGGTCCTCATGCATGTAGGGCTAGTACTTTCCCTACTGACAGTCTCCCCAGCTCCTCCCGAGGCGGCGTTCTGATGAATGGAAGAGACTTCTGCTTTGCCTGATTAGATGTCTCTTTGTGTGATACAGTTCAAATTTGTGGCTTTTGTTTTTTCCTCTTCTTTTTTTTCTTTCTTTTTGCATTCTAGGCAAGTACTCTACCACTAAGTTTCACTAGCAATCCCAGGAAATGTTTGATTGGTGATCCCATGCCATTGTAGAAGAATCTTTCAATAGAAATGCGGACCTTCAAACTGTTACCATCAGGGACCTCTTCCACCTGAGATTCCTGTCTCTATAGAACGCAAAAATCCCCGGATATTTAATTTAGTGTATATTCTTATTTAAAGTACTTTAGAAGACTGGTTTCCCAGCACAGCAATCCTGATCTAGAACAGCAGAGTAAGTGCCCTGAATTGCTATGGATTTTCCACACATGGAAACCCATGTTTCCATCTAGAATATGAGATAGGAGCTGACAGTGGATTTGCAGAAGAAATATTTGGTGATTAATCAGCATTATGAGCCAGCAGCAGGCTAAGCTTAATTTTGATACCCAAAATGTCCTAATAGAGCAAGCTAATACTTTTTTTCCTGGTCAGAATACTGTCCGGCAAAGAAACTGCCCTCCAGTTTAGGAGTATAAACAAAACATAAAGGTGATTGCATCCGTCAGAAGCCAAAAACCGATCTTGGTGGAGACTGTATAAGTAGCCCCTAAATGAACA